TCACATAGTTACCTTGAGCTATAGTATCACTGGGCTCTTGGATTTCTTTTTCTTCTTTCTCCTCTTGGACACAGGAAGCAGCAGCCATTTGGGCAAGAGCAGATGCACAATTAGCAGCAACTCCTGTAAAGCAACAACACAATTAGTGTTTAACCAGCACCTCCTCCCCAGTCCCGTGCAATCTCAACAACAGGTTGGGACAAGGAAAGTTGGCTGAGTATGTCCATGCTGTAGGGCTGGTGGGCTCTATGGGGAGTCATGGACAGTTTAGGTTCCTGTCCAAGACTGGAACAGGTTGCTGCTTTTCTCTCTCCCAAATTCCTTCAAGGAAAAGTCACCATCCTGTTTTGTGAGTCTGCATTACCTAGAGCACAGCTCAGCCGGGCTGCTCTCCTCAGTCCATCCAGGCTCACGCAGATGGAGTCCTTCTCCTTTTGGTTCTGCTCCTTGGCTCCTTCTGCTCCCAAGATGAAGGCCAGCCCCTTGGAGCTCCCCGCCATGCGGCCGGTCAGTGGTGTGGACAAAGTGTCAATCAAGTTTTTCCAACAGCCAATTAAAAGGTATCGGGCAAAAGCAACTCCTGGAATGAGAAATACATTACTACTACTACTGGAGAATGACATCGCAGCAGTTTTATCCTCAGTGGTAAAAAAACCAAGTCACATTTGTCCTCTGCGTGCTGGACCACCATTTCACGTGTGGGATGTACTGACATACTTCCCTCAACCCTTAGGTTCTTTAGGTTCTAAAACACAATTTATCTAAATATGCTTATGGTATGTAACAACCCCACTGCTGGCAGACACACTTGTGTTTATAATCCAGTCTTAATACCTGCAACAACGGAATCATCTGTCTTCCGGTTTTGGGAAAGCGGAGATTGAGCTGAAGCAGATGCCATCAACTGGCCACCGATTGCACTGCTCCCCAAGCCATCGATGTCTGCCAGAACATGAAAAAACCAACAGATTACTATTCAACACACAGATGGTATAAGGAAAGCATCTCCTACTGGCTCTTTGTTCAAATAAGCACTAGCACTCCTGACTCTTCAGGTATACATTTTAGTTGCTCTTCTCTGGCAGGCTTCTGAAGCCTTGGCATAAACATGAGCTGTGGCATTGTATGCTTTGCTCACTATAACCAACATTTGCTTGAAGAGGGGAAATATCTCA